GCCGCAGGCGGTCGTTTGGCGCGATCCCTCTCGTCGCACCGCCCATTCGACGCGGTTTGCGAGCTGGACTACTCGTCCAAGTGATCGGGCAACCCACTGCCCGTTCAGCTGATAGAAGCCCGATCGATGACGCCGTCAGTATTAGTCGCCGAAATGTGGAAATGCTTGTGTACTGCCAGGTATGTGTCAAGTCGTGCGTCCGAGGACCCGCGCGGCAAATTGCGCGGCGAAGTTCATTGTGAGTTTGGACGACTGCGGCGTTTATCATTGGGGGACAAACCTGAAGTAGAGTAGATTAGTAGGGTCAGCTGACCATACCCAACTATTCCACTTCAAGTTTGTGCCCCAGTAATGGGTGGCAGGCTCGCTTGAATCGCCACGAACTTCGCCGCACAGTTTGCCGCGCGCGTCCTCGGACGCACGGCTTGACCGTCCCCGTGTTCTGCCTATCAACGTGGCGTCATCGATTGGTGTCTATCGGCTGGATGGGCAGTGGAATGTTCAATCACCTGGACGAGTTGTCCAGTTCGCAAACCGCGTCGAATGGGCGCCCCGATGAGAGGTAACGCGCCAAGCGACATGTACCCCCCTTCCCCATCATCCAAAATTTTTGTTGCGTCGTATATGTGACGGGTGTTTGGAGGTGGTTTAGTGCGTCTTCGGGTTACTGTATAACACATTCATGTGACTTCGAAATCCGACTTGTGTGTACGGGTAAGATTCAACGACACTATTTTGCTGAATGAGTACAGAGAAGGCGCGAAAACGCGCAAGTACACGTGAAAACGTGTGGAACCGTGTAGATGTCTGACACGTTGCCCCCCCTCTCCCATTCCATTTAAAATTACGCCACTATTCTCCTGCTTGACTTCCCGATCGTCAGAGATTTTAGATATGGGCCTGTCGTGTTCCCTGTGTGGGCATGTAATGTTATCATATAATAATTACTCGAAACACTTGTGCTGTACCCATGGTGATGAAGGTGCCAAAGCTGCATCCGAACTCGTAAAAGAAAGAAGGTTGACAGCGAAGGTCACGGGACAACACGAATGCACCTTGTGCAACCTCAGAAGCTCGTTGAAAGCTTTAAACAAAGCTTTAAACCAGGAAAAGACTAAGTGAGTTGCTTTTTCAACTTCATAATTATACCATACCTTGAAAAGTAAAGGTTTTCAGAAATTCTGCGGATTGCGACAAGGATTTGTCGGCTCCTGGCCCAGGTTCCACCGACACGGAGTCAGAACCACAAGATTCTGACTCGGGTTCCACCGAGATGGAATCAGAATCACTCGATAGTTCTGGCGATTCTGATTCCCATAACGATTCGGAGAAGTCGGATTCTCGGGGATCTGTTTCTGATGCCATCAAGGAAGGTAAATGTACGAAGAGTCGGGATCGAGCAGAAAAGGTGACTTAACAGGATGGGTAACAGCCAAATTCGCCTTCAATAGGATTTGTTTTTCAGATGCTCGATCATATACGTGCATATATCAATAGGTTGGATAGAAAAGGAACCGATGAGGCAAAGCTCGCCCTGCATGAAGTGGAACGTAAATTATGGAAAATGTTGAATACATTTGGTAAGAAGTGATCCTTCACCGTTATGGACACGAAAGGGCTCTTTTTTAGGTGAAAAATTAACAGAAGACATTGTCTTGGTGGAACTGGATTCTGATGAGGATGATGACATCGATAGTGTGGATCAGGGTTCTCCAGATGAGGAAGATGACAACGCTAGTCACGATCTTGATGCTTCAGATGAGGACGATGATGATGTTTTTTGCCGCAAATGTGGGGATGTACAACCTCCTGGGAACTCAGATGTACTCACTGACTGGATACGATGCAATGATTGTGATGCTTGGGCACATAAAGAATGCCTTGATTCGAGGGGATGCATTTTCTGTGGCATTGGAATGTGTGAAACTGCGTCTTCTACCGAATCGGAAGTAAGTTGGGATCAAGCTCCTATCTATTACCAAAACACTTTGACTTGCACGTACGAAGAGGTAATAAGACTACTACAAGGATAAAGCTGTCTCTTCAGGGTATGCATGAAGACAATGAATAATGGGTTAGCAAAAGTATCTCAACTTAACCACCCTGTGTTATGTTATCGTTCTGATATCTTTTCTTTTTCAGTTTATTTTTATTATTTACTACATCCTTATGGCCATTTAAAGTTTTCTTAATTTTCATATTGATAGCATATGTAGTTATTTGCTTCTAGACGTAGATATCCAATGTACGTAATGCAGTTATTTTGAATCGATGAAGAATTTACTAATAAAGCTTTTCGAGCGAGTTGAAGACGATTATGGGTGGAAACAAGAAATTGGATGGAGATTTGGTTACCGTATTTATCCTCTAACAAAAATAAAGGTATCCTCTGAGCGAACTTGAAAAACTGGAGTATCACATAGAGAAAAGAAGCAAGGTCCAATAGAGGAACGAAGAAACATACGACAGAAACTGGGTTCACATTGTTGAGCTGATTCCAATAGCGTCTTTAGTGCCTTCAGACTCATTCAGACTTCGCCGACGTGCTTTGTTTCTACCGACTGACAACGACCGATTCTGGCCATGTGTTGACAACGCTTGAAAACGAGGCATCACGCGCCCCCACGACTCACGCGGCCATGAACGCAATCTGTCTCGCGCTGTCAACACGTGCCAGGAAGCTCGTCAGTCGTTCGGTCGGTGGAATCTGAATGCGCCCAGTGAGCAACCTATAGGCAGTTTTCAGTTAGTCAGCATCTGAGCCGCGACGCAACCGCTCGCGGGCGGCCAGTGTCTCACGTTGACGTTTAGGTTCCTAACCATCCAAAAGGTAGATCGACTCTATCGAAGCCGATCAAATAGTTCTGAGATCCTTGAATNTGGTGATACAGCAAACCGGGCCGTGACCTTTCCTTTAGGTTGTTATGATGGAACACAGTTGGGCTTTTGCTTCAACGGCCGGCTTCATCTTCCTAATGAGAACTTATTTCCGATGCACCGCATTTGGGGCGAGTTTTACTTACCAGCTACATCTCCCAAACGGGAGCTTATTTCCAATGTACCGCAGTTGCGGCGAGTTTATTACTTAGTCATCTTTGTCTCTTCTTCTAACTTTATGACAAGATCTGCTTGGGAAAACTTTCTTGCAAAAGATTTCCAAGGCAGGACCCATCATTAATACCATCACCATTCCTACCTCTGCTCGAGCGTCTTCTCTTGCTTCTGTAACCATGTTTGCGATGCGTCTTACTAACTCAATTATTGGGTCACCTTTTTCTTCTTCTTTTTCACCTGAAAATGCAACGTTTAGGTAATGTTTCGACCCGTTAGGAAACTTGGTATCATACGTTTATGCTTTACACGACGTTCTGTTCTATCGAGATCCGTTTTAGGGCCAACAAATACAGTGACAGCATTCTGAAAATGAGATGTAGTCGTACGTTAGGTATCCGTAGGAAAAAAAATTGTGGGAAATGTGTCCGAGGAAATCCAACAACATCCCCCTAGAAGGGAAAAGAACTCTACAACTTGACAGGGGAATCGTCATCCATGCTACGTAGCTCTTCACTGTAAGGATTCTAATTAGGGAAAGATGTCGATTAACAAGGCGCATACTTATATCTCATGTTTGCTTCGGCTTTTTTCTACAAGCACTGGTTTTTTGGCATTCTTCCAGTTGTAGTAGGTAACAGAGCAAAGAAAATGAAGCGGAGTAATTGCTGTTTGTAAGGATCGGTGGTGAAGTTCCGGATGGAGTCCGCTCAAATCGAATGAGCCCTTTACACCGGTTCTTAGACATCATCGTTACGATTAAGAGTGGCAGGTAAACGTATGGTGTATCCCGAAATGGATTGACAACTTATAATGCAAGGAGAAAGAAGTAATGGAAATGGTAGATAGCAAGCATCGATCAGATTTGTGGGAGTGGAACTTAGTGGGTTTGTTTGGGTATCCGCTAATGAAGAAGTAGTTGGCAGCACCTGCTTCTGGAAATCAAGGATGAGCCAGGCATTTGACGTTTGCCTATAATATTGGGGCTTCCTTATGTGACTCTAGCCTGCACATTGTTTTGTCTTTTTTCAAAACAATGTTTTTTACTCTCAATCATGTTTGCCGCTATCTTGCTGAAGGACAGAAATCTAGACTCAGGCAAGACTGAGCACCGGTTCTGATTACCTAATTGAACTTCCTTTATGAGTGACCCATGCTTATGCCACTCTTCTGTACCTGAGGAGATAAAAAATTTTACCGTAATATCAAGACTCGAGATTTGTTAGAAGACCGCCATCAGATCTCAAACACCCAAGGTTAATATATGCTGAATAAATAGCCATACTGGGTCTTTGTCCACATTGAGTAGTTCTGCAGGTTTCGCGGCTGAACCTCTTTCCCATTCTTGTTCTGTGAGTCCTTCAAGTGATTCACCAGTAGTGCTCCTTTCTGTGCGAGTCTATAAATTGGATTTTTATAAGTAAATGTTAGTGTCTAAAGGCTCATTTCATTCAAGATTATGGAAGTAGAATATAATAGGATTAATATGGGGGAGAATGAAGTGTTCGACATGGCGCGCCGTTGCTTGACACGCTTGTAAAACAGTATCAGCCGTATAGAAGTGTAACATTTGGTACGCAAATGTACCGCTCGCCGCTCGCGGCAGACTCCTGACTGGGGTGCGCTTCGTTGCGCGCGATTTTTGAAATGCCCGTGTCTCTCGAGCTAGGGCCATCCACTGTTCCTGTGGCACACGAGGGTGAGGTTGATCCCTTCAAACCTCAAGGAAGTTTTGGATATTTCAATAGGGATCGGTTATGGGAATGGAGCATTGGAAAAACAACTCTAAGTGTCGGTATCTATGCATAGCCTGCAGAGAAGCCCACTATCAGATAATCGATATCCCTTCTTCGGGTTAGCCATTCAGTGATTTTTACTCACATCTCATCGGTATTCAATCCTCAGGCTCCATTGCCTTCACTACCTGTATTTTCTCACAAGCCTCGTCAGAAGCATACTGCCCGATCTTTACTAGTAGCTAATCTCGAAATCGGATAGCCAGGATTCAAATATCGATCGATTGAGGTAAGGATCAATTCAACGTTCGAGGAATTTCGAACCGATTTTCTTCATTCCTTCGTACGCTACGGGTGTTAGCTTAAGCTCACTTTTCTTCTTTCTGATTTTGCTTCTGATGCTGATGTTGTACTGCTGCTACTGCTGGAGGATTTCGGTGCTTTCTTTTTTGATTTTTGTGACATTACAATGAAGTCGCCTCGTAGAAAATGCCAGTTGTTGTCCTAAACGAAACAAACCTAATCTTACATTAGAATTCTTGCTGGAGGATGCTAGTACTTGCGAATGCTTCACAAAACAACTCACAACACCTAGTTCAGAAGCTTCACTGCCGACTGTAGAGCATCGAATGTATGGAAGGAGACTGGTGTTGTTTATTTAGGATTCTTATCAATCTTTCATTTGATGATATCTTTAGGTCGCTGTATGTTTCAACTTCTTCTATTGTTCGCTGTACCTCACTTGACGGTGCCGCTCGCTTCAGCGTCGAGCACGATTTTAGAGAAGCCTCCTGATTCTTCGCACGCTGAATCGATAATCATCTGGCAGTTGTTAATGGGGAACACAACTTGGGAGAGTATGAATCAGCAGCTAGAAACAATCCCCGGTAATGCAGCTTCAGAAGCTTATAGAGGCATCCCCTATGACTTCGCACATCCAACACGGAATCAGGGGATTCATATTAGCTCAGGTAGAGGCTTTTATTCATCTGCACCTACTCACCGATTAAGGTTCAGAGTGCTATACAGACGCATTTTTTATACCTCTCGAGTTGATTTCGGCTGGACCGAATAGTAATAGGTGTGAACAATAATATCCGATATTGAAGAATACCAGTCGATATAACAGAAATTTCCGTTGGACACTTCGCCGTTTGGGTGTGAGCCAAGAGGCTCGAGACATTCGCTGTCCCCCTCCAATACCAGTGTCCGGGAACTTCTCCCCTAACACGGCGTCGCACTAGCCGCACCCGCCGCCTATCGCAGGGTTGCGATGGAAGATTGAAGCGCGCAATTTGTGAGGTAGCGAGTCCTTTAATTATTTGAATTGGCTGGCCGCTCTTTTCAACCAATGCGGTCTTGATCGTTTTATATAGGAGGAGTCATTTTAATTAATCAAGTCTAATAAACATGAAAATAAAAAGAAACAGAAGAAAAAACGATCAAATCCAATGAAAAAGCAAGGAAATCAACGAAAAATACCGCGTCCTATCTATTGACGGGAGGCGGGGTGAGTACGGTAATTGCAGTGACATTTGCCGCATGCCGCAAGGGAGAATGCCGCGATAGGGGAGAAGTTCCGTTACCCCCAATACCAAACCTTCCGCCTCTCCTTTGCACTCGCTTCTTGCCGATTGAGAGCAACCTTAGCTATTCGACCCCACGGCAGCTAAGTAAAGTCAGTAAAGCCACATGAGTAAGTCATGATGAATTCGAGTCAAGTGGCTCTATACCGCCGTTTTAAAAGAATACCACCTGTCTGAATGAAAGAGAGCAGGCGAACCCATATAGGTGTTGCACTGATGCCTCCGCTGCCCCACGACAGTCCCTCTTAAACTGAAAACATCAAAAGTCCGAACAGGTGAGAAATGCTAACAGTCGCTTCACTTGGGATATCAAAACAAAAGTTTTTTCTATAATCACAATGAATTATGGAGCACAGTAAGTTGACAACGACGGTTGCTTGAAAGTTTATTTTCTAAAAATAGTTAGTTGAATCTACTCGTAGTCATAGTCGTCATTAATGTTGAGGAATGTTCCGAGAGATGGAAAGAATACACCCTCGTAAAAATTGGTACCGCCAACACCAGCTGCTGGCACAGCCCAATGACCTCCAGAAGCCACCTGTAAAAAATTGCTATCTTCAGAACAAGGAAACAAATAAGCAAGGAACTGGTGAGTGAAATCAACTTGATATGCACGTTGCTGAAGAATCAGTTTAAATTAACGAACCTCCCCATTGAGCCAGTCTGCAGTAGTAGAATAAGGTTTATAAAACCATTTATTGGCATGATCCCTGTTATGGGGATTGTCAGGGTTTGGCTCCCATAGGCCTGAAATTTGCTTTTAAGCGTTGCAGTTGAAAAATTTCCGAGAATTTTTTCGTTTCGATTTTCAGATGGACATAGCCCACTCACAGCTCTTCTTAGACCCATTGTTAGGATGAAAATTGTAAATTACCAGGTTTCGTGAAGGGACTGCGACTTCGTGCCCGATGGTGAATACCGTAACGATCCGACAAAGCCGAAATGGCCTAAATCTAAAGCTAGGAGCTGTAAAACTACATAGTAGTTTCAACTATTTCAACCTGAAATGTATCATCGCCTGATCTATTTGTGGGATCAAACGATGCAGCTGTCCAGCGGTCCTTAGCGGATGTCATTGGTTCTGCTGTTTGTGAATTGATTGCTCTGCAAGACGTTTGATGGGAGCTGTTCAAAGCTCTTTCAGAAAAAAGAATTATTACCTCATAGTTCGGCGTGGTTTCTCGGAAGCTCGTTGGTGTCTCGTACTTCTGTGAGAGGGGTTTGACGTTCGGTACCGCCTCTTTCGATTCCGCGATTTTTTCGTACTTGTTGTTCTTTCACGGGCTGTGTAGCTAGGTCTTGAGCTCCTTCTAAAATCTTGCATCGAAAAACCGTACTACTAAGCACCACCAACTAATTGGAATCTATAAAAAAAATTCGAAATTCCGAACGCTTACGTCGACGAAATGCTGCGTGCCGGACCATTCCTTCTCAAGGGTTGGTCGCGAACAGATGGGAGAGCTGGAGGAACTACCATGGTTCGCTTATTTTTGTGGCGGCTAACTGCACTAAAATGCAAAGAAAATGGTACTCATTCTGGTTTAAAATCTGTCATGAAAAACGTCGTCAGCGTGTTTGTTGACCATGGGCCAGGAACGCTATCACAAGATGGCCCTTCATGGCACATTTTAGTCGAAACGGCCGTTTTCAACTGTTGAACAATACGACCTTAGCAGAAATCTAGAAAGCAAAGGAAGTCTCTCATATTACCGATTTCGCGTTCCTTCCGCTCGTGCTTCTTCTCCTTCTGATTCCGGTCCCTCTGGTCCAATGTGAGGATGACCAGGAGGGCTTGGGATGTTGAAAGGATTCGGGTTCGTCGTCCTCGGCCCCGCTTAAAAATCGCTCCATTCTATACTTCAAGTGAACCTTCCATAGTTGGAAAGTAAGCGTAAAACTCACGGACATGCTTTCCTTTTTCTGCTTTTGAATAGATGTACTGTGAGGCATAATGATATCTCTCATATTTTGGACACATATAGTACCACAACCTGCGAACACATAGTTAATCTTCATTTGGGAAGATCTCATCAAACCGATGTAGATGAATGAAAAATCGATATCGATTTCATAGTGACGCGGCAACGCCAGAGCTGAAATATGAACTTACCTGCAGACGTTCAGGAAAAATGGAAGCGGTGGGGGATTGCAGAAGTTTTGAACCGATGGATAAGAATAGTCACATTTACATTCCTGGGTGCAGTGGGGGTAGACTTTTTCATCGCAGAATGGCGTACATGGAATTCGACGCTGAAAAGAAGCTGCTCGAAGAGGAACCTTGATTGATAACAAGGCGGAGTTCAATGTAGCTCTGCATACGCGTGTTTTCGGTTTCGACTGGGTACCCATATTCTTGAAAAAAGGCTAGAAAGTATGGAACGTATGGTGAGGGTAGAAGCTAGGTTTTTCTCAAAGGCATAGGCGACAAAGGGAATTTTTGGACATCGCTTCCAGCACGAAAGCGTTGATGCTGTACCGCTCACCAAAGACGAAGAAAATCCTAAAAATGGCAAAAGACCAGTGAGTAGACATTTCTTTTGCCAACCCATTTTCTCAGTTTTGGATTTCTATGAAGAGAGTGAGCGCTTTTCAGCTCTCAGCGATCTCTCACTGACTTGATAGTGCGTTTGGCGGTTGAGTGTGACGCCCATGAGGCGCTCTTTATAACTATGTAAAGACAGTACGACCGAAAACGAGGGTTACTATTGGCAGTCGTGATTATAGGAATCTATGGTTTCGCTGTAATAAAGATTATATAGGATAATGAAGATATGTTTGTCACCAGCGCATTAGCTGTATTTAGGATCGNGTAGATATCAATGTAATCAAGGATTGATGAAGCGAGATCGCAGCTGGAATTTTCCATTCATTCCGACATGACAGGAACTAATGCCGTAGGAGGAATGATGGCTCAAACGCTTTTTTTTTCAGTGAAAACCTGAGCCCAACTCCTTGGTATAACTCCAGTCAAAAACCATGTTTTGCTAAGAAAACTGCATAGCTGTGATCAACATCAAGAGTTCTATCCACGCGTAAGCATCTTCCTACCGCCATACCAAAAATGGTTTACTCGTGATCTTTGGATCTTTCTAGTGGGGCTGAGAACGATTCCATTGATCTATGGCTTCGATGGGTGAAAAAAATTGCTGCCTTATCGAAATCGAGGGACTGGCAAAAAATTAGAGAACAACAGCAATGAAGAGAGTGCAGACGACGAGAAACGAAAGCGACAAAATGAGGGACCGAACGCATCGACGGTAGATCAACATGGCGATCGCACATCCCATGGATTGAGCGGTAAAGATCAAGGTAAAAGTCTTATTAAACTTTTTTCACAATCAATATGTATTTACGTGCGCCTCTCAACACTGATTCCGAAAATGTACATCTCATTTCAAACTGATAAGTTTGGATGAAGATAATGGGTTGAAACTTTATGGACTAGAGGGTGTTTGTAGTACCATGTAGTTACACACCATATTCCTTCCAAAATCGAGCGATATCAAAGAAACCACATCCTTTTTCCCTTTAAATCTCGATGAATTGGGAAACGACTTCCATGTTTGCAATCGGCACTGGAATCTCTACAGAAGAGTACGAAATCGCACAAAAGTACCCTACAAAAGCCTTTGTTGTGGGTTTTCACACTCCCAATCATGTTGCAAGCGGACTCTTTTGGTCGTTTTCCTCTCACCTGTTTATTCTGTTTATTCACGAGACCCAGTTACTCGTCCTTTAGTAGGTGTTGATGCCAAGCCTACCTGGTATTTTAATTTTTATAGGTCGTGAAAACGTTCCTGATGGGTATGTGTAAATTACGAATTTTGCAGATAAATTTCATAGTGAACCGTCTTCAAAATGAGTGTCGTAAATTGGGAGGGGCGGGGGGATGGGGAAGATGGATTCATCATAGAATTTTTAAATGAATTTTATAATTACTAGGGGTACCCTGAACTTTCGAACCATACACTTTGCTGTTTCTTTTTGTTTTTTGCCCGTACCGGTTAGCCTTCCTTCTATATCCTCTTCAAGAGTTAGCAAATTCCACATTTCTTCTGCCCATACAAGCGTGGATCGCTAACCACCCCCCTATTATCGCGCCTTTCGTCGTCTAACTAGTAACTGTGCACTACTGCTCGTTGCCTTCTCGTTGAAAATGTGTATATTCTTTTGATATTCGTTTTCTAATTGTCGTGTTTACTGATTGTAACAAACGAATTCCTTCAAATGTTATGTAACCCACCTTGATTTCTTCCAACATTGCATCACGTCTTTCTAAATCTTCTTCTTCCGAGCTAGTTATCTCATCACTCTCATCAGACTCTTCTTCCGGTGCTTTTATGCTAACTTTTCTTGTAAATGCTTCGTCTATGGAAGCAGTTTTCCTGAAAAAGTTTCTTGGATAAGAAAGTGGGAATGCAGGGACATCATGTATGTACAAGTGTCACATAGCCGCCACGCCATCTAGCAACTCCTAAATAGAATTCAGTATAAGAGAATCAGTCGAAAAGCTTTTTTTATAGTTGGACCGTTTGTAATGAATTTGTGTGGGACCACTGTGATTTTGAGAAACTTATCGGACGAATTGCTCGAGCCATTTTGAAATAAAAGGGCTTCCAAATGCCATCTCATCCTGGCGGAATTCAAAGACGCGGCGTTACCCAAAAGAAACCAGATGACAACAACCGCTTTTTAATCTATTCATGAAACGTAAAACTCACGTAATCGACTTATTTGGGCAAGCCTTCTTGTAAGTTGGGCAGAATTTTGAAATTACCTGAAAAATGGAAAGTTTTTGAATACTTCACGTAATGGGTACGGTTAAGCTCATTTCCATAACCAAAGCTGACCTTTGCCTTTTCGTCGTTGTTATTGTCGTTACTTTCACCAATGCAGTAAAAGGCGAAATGTTCTTCGTACTCATTGCAATATGCTTCTACTGAACCACGATGCACAGAGAAATCCTCGGTATCTTCCTCAGCTAGAGCACGAAAGTTTCCAGGGAGCGACGGTATGAGGAGGTGATCACAGGCACAGTTTTGATAGAAATGTTATCAGAGATTTCTCCCTAGGGTAAACATGTGGCCCCAAGGATAGCAAAAGCGAGGTTGCTCGGTTAAATATGTTCTAGTAATTGCCCACAACCGGCATAGCCGATGCGCACACCCTAAAACGGACGAGTTCTCAGGCGTTGTGAAGGTGTAGATTTCGCACTATTCATACCGAGACCCATACGTTGCCTCAGGCAAATTACTCTCCAGCCACGCAGTATGCAACGACCCACAGCTCGTCTTAATACCCATTCCATGCAGCTTTGATTGTCACATTTTCGTCCAACACCTAATTTTGCTGACCTTAAGAAGCCTTATATTTTCTGAATACGCCGATTTTTGCATTTCCTTCGCCATTTTCGCATCATTCTAGACCCTCGCTTTCAATATTCGCTCAAAATCAACTGAAGCAAAATCATCGTAAACTGTGCCTTCAAAATTCTAATTTGTATCAAACCGTTCAAAGCAATCACTACTCTTGTTTGTGAAGTAAGACTTTTTCGAACTGAAAATCTAAAATTCACTTTCCCGTTCTGCTCCATTGTTCTTGGGTTTAGAAAGTGTTTCTTCGGTATCCTCGGGAAGAAACTGTAATTCTAGCGATCAGGTTAACGTAAACATGATGACAAAGATCTACTCACACCCTCTTCAATATTATCATTACCACCTCCAAATTCCTTCTCTCTTAAATCGGCATCAATGTGCGACTTGGTGATAGCTCCATTAGGAGATTCAACACTGTCTTTTCTTCGTCGTCTGAAAAGACGAACTATTTCCCACTCAACTCCATTGTCAGATCTCACTATAATGGGTTGTTTCTAGAAAAAGCAGTCGCTGATAAATTCCCATATCAGGGCTTCGAAACTGTTTTTTTTTTTTGCATTTTCACATTGTGGATAGCATGCGACCTGTTCGGGTAACGGAACTTCTCCCCTATCGCGGCAGTCTCCATTGCGGCATGCGGCAAATGTCACTGCATTTACCGTACTCACCCCGCCTCCCGCCAATCGATAGGACGCGATGTTTTTCCTTGACTGGCTTGCTTTTTCATTGGATTTTATCGTTTTTTCTTCTGTTTCTTTTTAGTTTTCATGTTTATTAGACTTGATTAATTAAAATGACTCCTCCTATATAAACGACGATCAAGACCGCATTGGAATTGAAAAGAGCGGCCAGTCAATTCAAATAATTAAAGGACTCTCTACCTCACAATTTGCGCGAACCAATCTTCCATCGCAATCCTGCGATAGGCGGCGGGTGCGGCGTGCGCGACGCCGTGTTAGGGGAGAAGTTCCCGGACCCCGACCTGTTCGGTCGGGTGGAGGGCGTAGAAAATACGCGCATTGGCGGGATTTCCTTGCTGCTTGCGCGCGTGGTAAGAACGCCCAATGGTCAGAGTGCGGACGCACTCTTTTCGCGTTTTGTCTTTTGTAAGGGAGAAAACAATCGATGCGGTCTTGGAAATCTCATGATATTCTTTGCCCCTTTTGTAGTATGTCATGGGGATGCCTTTGGCCTGACAATGATTTGGCAGGACGTCGAGTACGCTCTCTCAAAGAACAGAAAGACATCACTTTTCGAGCATCGCCGTGAAATCAGCAATTTCCTTTCGTTGTCGATCACTGAGAGGTGCGTTAAGACCTGCAAAGTAAATTCAGTAATTTCTTAAATTATACATCGTATTTTCATAGAATGAGGATAGAACCTCGGCGTCTATCGTGTTGACCATCCCTGCGAACTGAGTTCAGTCGATCATAGAGAATCTTCCGTTCCGCGTTCAACTTAGCAGACTAAAACCCAATAAATCAAAGAAGGACAGCAAAGTGCAACGTCAACCGCCCCTCCTTCATCCAGAGAATGCAGTGAAACGACTAGATGTCTAGACACAATCTTAATTCAGTTCGATCCAATGATCGATCGTACTGCAACTATTGGTTTCAACGAGCTACATATTTTTACAAAAGCTATATTTATCGAAGAGGTTCTACCATTAGAATGGGTTATATTTCATTCTTGCTCAGGGACTAGATTGAGAATGGGTTCAGCCATAGTATTTTGGGCTAAAAAATAGTGATCGTGGTTAGCTTCGTCCATCTTTTTGTACACCTCAGAGTACCCTCAGTATTACCTGGGAAGGTAAAGGTGTGCATTCCAAGATACCAAGTCTAACGAGGAAAGCAACATCGGTAGGATAAATATAATAAATTATTGGTTTAGATAAAATTTGGTATCATTTCTGAACTAAGAATGCGATGAAAACATTAAAGCGCAGATACTTTGGAAATCAGACTAATTGAGATCATGTATGTAAACAAAGGCAATATGATTTCAGAACACATAAAAAGCGTCATACTTTGCATTCGGGTAGATCCGGGCGTCTAGAACATCGGGTGCTGACCAGGTCAGGGGTAGATTCGACTGAACAAAATTATACATTTGGGAAGATGCTGCTCGGAAGTGCTTACCTATGCAGAATGCTGCGAGAGCAATCAGGCAGAACGTCGATAACATCAACGTGGGAAGAAATGGAAACCAGGTGGTCTCCTATGTCCCGAGGAGTTATCCACGTGACCAAATCCTACAGAGATACCAAGTAAAAAGGTATCAGGCAGAGGACCGTAGTGATGAGAAATCAAACGAACGGTTGTTCCTATTGAGCGGACGTTTTTGCGTGTCCATTGACAGATTGTGGCAAACGAATCATTCATGAGAAAAAAAAACTGTTGATATCTGGAAAGAACTGGCTATTTCTGTCTAATTTATTTTCGAAATACACATCCCATAAGCGGTCGTTGATATACTAATGTCAGGGAACCAGTCAGTTGTTTTGAGTCAGAATTGCTCTGAAGGGCTTAAATAAATTTCGAAGGGAATCTGTGGCCTGATGGAAGACAAGGATGCTGGCAATGAAAGTGTCAGTGCCTCACTCCAACCAAGACAATTGCACGTGGTGATCATAAACCAATTACAAAGCTCTTCGGAGTATGTAGGCCTTTGAGATGCACTCCGAGAAATCACCTCCCCCCCCCCCCCCCCCCCCCCCTCCTCCTCCTCCCGGCCCCCACATGACTGTTATGACTGTGGCTTTGAAAAGCAATCGGGTGAACCTGCTCAGAGCTTCTCTGAAATCCTCACTACACCTTTAACCTTGCCCTAGATCCCTACGGACCGGCGCGCACGCATACAATGAGATCCCTGCGTAGAAATGGGATGTGGAAAGAAACGCTCCTTGTCAATTAGTCATTATAGAACAACGCCATAGTTCCATATAGATGAAAAAACCTCTCAAGGGCTAGAGAATCACATGAGCAAGTATAACTTTTTATTTTTGCATTAGCTAGATAATTTTTTTGGCTACAGTGGACGGCTAAACAACAAGATTTGAGTAAAGGACTCGTTGAATACAGTAACTAAGTTTAAGAGATGCTCTAGATTTAGTCATAGTCGTCTGGAATGTTGAGAACCGTTCCGAGAGAAGGGAAATGTATTTCGCTGTATTCGTCAGTGCCACCGACACCAGCAGCGGGTACCGCCCAATGGCGACCCCAGCTTGCCTGCAAATAATCAACCTCCACTTGGTAGCTGCTGAGGACCTTTTCTGAACTAACCTGGCCTCCTAGCCAGTCCGCACCTACGGAAAACGGATGATAGTACCATTTGTTTGCATGGTCCCTGTTGTGAGGATTATCTGGATTGGGCTCCCATAAACCTAAAATCAAATTGTAGCATTTTGTAACGTCGTCAGATGGGGATCCAGGAATGGAATAGGAGAAGTTGTTAAACAGTCTCCAACTTCTCTCTTGCTTTAACCTCGGCATAGATGTTTCTGGTAACAATATTCTCGTGAACGTTAGGCCGTTGTAACTAATAAAAGTTCCACCTAACAACCTCGCACGGCACAAAAATATTGTTACCAGAAGTTGTTAAGTTTAGATTTAGTAGTTTGCATCAGACGAAGCGTTGGGTCGATGGAATACGGCCTCGTGGAATCTTCTACCAGAGATCCCAGGTGTTTTCGTGATGGTCTCTACAGCTTGATTGAATAAACACATAATGAACGAGTAGTTAATCCGATTTCCAGAATTTAGAGCACGATGCCTCAAAATTTTGCGTGTACAAGTGGTCGTGTGGATAAGGGATGGCCACTCAAGCAGTAAAAGCGCAAGATCAGTCAAATCCCGACTCAAACAGTACCTTTGTTATAATATTCTATTCTATTCTTATTCCATTCTCGTATTCTTAACGTTTCTAGCCTAAATTTGGTGATCAGATATACCTCGAACAACCGCCGTAACCTTGGGTCTGAAACGCTTGTGGTGTTCATACTTCGCAGGCGCACGTATGCGTAGGACAGGCGAGAAGTATTTACGCTACAACTCGCATATCCCTTGACAGGAAATGAGGGACCACTCGAAATACCTTCTTGTACGACTAATTATAAGAGCAGTGTTTTCGAGAAAAAGCTAAAGGTCTGTAGGCGCGTGTTCAGAGCTTATTGACACTACTTCAGCTCTACCAACTAACCTGGCCTCACGAATGGACTGCGGCTTCGGGGACGATGATGAACACCGTGACGATCCGACAATGAGGAGATAGCCTGAATTTAACGCTGAGAGTTCTATAAGAAGAAAAAGTTTCTGAGCATTTGTAGGGGGATGGCAGCTATTTCTACCTGAAATGTGTTTAGCTTCTCTTCAGCTGCTGCGTCAGGTGGTTCAGCTTTGAGAGCCTGATCAGCTCTGAATGACATCGATTTGAAAAGACATATCTCGGCTGAGCAAAGGAACCCTACCGGAAAGGTTTATCCAATGATGGCATGGTACGCTCAGTGGAGAAGGTCATAGGATCAGCAGTTAGTGAGTTGATCGCTCTGTAAATCGTACTCATGACATGGATCAATTATGTTTTGATTTTGTTACACGTCCAGATTCTCATGGTACTTCTGTACAGCGTCGCGGTGAAGTGGAACCAGAAAATACTCACCTTAGCGTTCGGATTAGTCCCCTGCGATCAACGCGAGGTGAGCTGCTTCCTCCAGATTCTCGAATAAACCGATTCCCTTTCCTTCGAGCTTGCACCTTCTGAGAATCCATGGTTTCCGCACTGGTAGGACCAGTTTTAGGGTCCAATCTGAAACAACAGTGGGAATTTGAAAAAGATCGATGTTATTGCTGATGAATGTGATGAATGTCTTGCAAGAAGCCAAGGGAATATCCGCTCCGTAAAATTTTAATCCAGTTATGAATCTTTGTTCCCGTATGGATAGGAAGGACCAGCCAAACGAATTTGCTCTTCAGCCGTTTGTCATCCGCGAAAGTATCTTTAATAGTGACACGTATTTTCTCACTTTCTATGTTGAAGCTGCGAACGATTCACAACGTTCATTTGTTCGTCTATGGCGGCTGAGGCCCGTAGGGGAGGAGAAGTCGCTGATGTGTCATCGCGTTGTATCATTGGACTTCGACCAGTTTTTCTGCGAACACTTAAGGAGCTTACAGTTTCTTCGACTTACATAGTTTTCTTTTAAAACCGGCTTACATGGCAAAGCTGGTGCCTTTATTTGTAATTACCCCGAGCAGTGAGGACCATTTGGTTCAGATGGGACAAACAGTTTTTTACCTGCCAGTATGAACAGTTCACTGGAAAGGGAGGGGGATGGGCCTTCACATGTCACTTAGAATCGTAATGAGGGTTTCTAGATAATCGCTCGTATCGGATTAGCTTGGTTTTTTTCCTCAAAATTCCATTGTACATGAAGCGGAGGTGGTCCCACATTCCGGACCACCGCCGAAACTCGACTTTGTGAATGTCAGTCTTGTATTTAGCTTACCTTTGTTCCAGAGTAGTGAATACATTACGCGTTGCATACTGTCGATTGGCAGGAACAGTAGGGTCGTCAGCTGTAAAATAATGTCATCAACTGCATGTGGCTTATGCTGCAGAATAAAGGAGGAAAACAACGCCATTCCAAATAGCCGTCTGGAATCCGAGTCTGCAGTGTTTTTAGACGGTTGTAGAGAACTTCTCGATATGCATTCAGCTTGATGCCCTCCTAAAACCAAAACGATAAATATGCATCATGAAATAACGCCGTGCATTTGTTCCTAAGCTTGAAAGCCTCGCATAGTCGTTGTTTGCCCAACTACACATTACGATCCAGCAGTTCTTCCACTGGGAATTTTCAACTAGAGGCCAGTTAGAATCACTTGCCTAGTCCAAACCAAGGTCGAAATTCTGCTCACGAATCAACAAACTAGTGAGGCTTCCTCAAGAAGATAAATAAAATTGACCCCGAAAGGATTTACTGTTAATGCTACACAATCACATTTAAATTTTTGAAGCGTGCATACTTTCTATAAACTGAGAATTACTGCTCTTGGGGAGCCTCTTGGAAGGCCCTTTTGTTTGAAGTACACACAGTATGGCCACACTTGAGGAATCATCCAGATATGACACTAGTTGTGATACAAAACAACGATGACGTGGGATATACATATCGAAATAAAGCGCCTACNAAGGTCGAAATTCTGCTCACGAATCAACAAACTAGTGAGGCTTCCTCAAGAAGATAAATAAAATTGACCCCGGAAGGGTTTACTGTTAATGCTACACAATCACATTTAAATTTTTGAAGCGTGCATACTTTCTATAAACTGAGAATTACTGCTCTTGGGGAGCCTCTCGGAAGGCCCTTTTGGTTTGAAGTACACACAGTATGACCACACTCGAGGAATCATCCAGATATGACACTAGTTGTGATACAAAACAACGATGACGTGGGATATACATATCGAAATAAAGCGCCTACGCTCATACATTGCAGAAGTAAAGCTCAGGTCGTCTTGAACAAGCAACTGCTACCAAATCGGGCGTAGATCGCACTGAAATGAAAGCTTATCGAAATGAGCACTGAAAGAGAATTCTATTAACCTTTCCGAAACACTGCCAGTATGATGAGGCAGGACGTCCAGTGCATTTGGATATACAGTTTGGAGAATCAGAAGGATTTGCACCTTCACAAAATGTTGGTTTAGAGAAAGTGCAAATTTCGGCACAGATAATAATTTCGAAAGATGATGTGAAACCTGCTTGACGGCTATCATTTTTTGAGAGAGTTCTTTTTGCGTAATCCGCTAGCCATATCGTGAGAAACTTGCTGATGACTCATGGAAACACTACGATCCTTCTAATGATCCGATTGTTTCGATTTTTCCGACCTTCGATTTTATAAGATGGTGGGTATAGGATAAGGCAAGTGCCGTTTTTGAGGGTCAAACAGTTTTCAGCGGCTCAAAGCGTTCCAATTTATCTGTATATCCAAGGACTCTATTGAAACAATGAAGTCAGGGACTCGCAATTTTGATTATTGTACAAATGGAGCGATTACTGCAAAGCTCCAGAGCGCAACCACTTGTACGTACACCCGCTTCACACTTCAAGGGGAACCTAGGGACTCGGAGAGAGGCCTTCTTCAGAGACGTCTCAGTATGCCCTTTGAAGAAGGCTTAGATCGCGAAGTATGAGATACATTCAAAGATCCACACTACTACGAATCATATTTTTGAAAGAATTACCTGCGATAGACATACCCTCGATATTCCAAAACTAGTGCTAGCAGAAATCCTTAGTAACGCAGCCAATGTCCCTCACTATACTTTCTCACGAAGCGAAAAGAAGAAAATTGACAAGTGTAAGGAATTCTTTATTGCACACATTTGAAAAATGAAATCCACGCCATGTTTAAGATGGCGAACTCTAAAATCTGAAAAAAGGATCGATAGGAAACAGTCGGTAGAGATGTAACAGATTTAATCATAGTCGTCTGGAATTCCGAGGAATGTTCCTAGAGATGGGAATCGAATTTCATTGTAATCGAAAATTCCTCCGACACCACCAACACCAACAGCAGGTACAGCCCAATGACTGCCCCAGTCTACCTAAAAGTTACTACCTAATCTTCGAAATGCAAGGTATTGACAGGGTAGGGAATCAAAACTGATTCAATCTGACAGTTACAAGAAAATGTGATAATATCTTAACCAACCTGTCCATTCAGCCAGTCTGCAGTTACAGAATACGGATTATACCACCATTTGTTTGCATGGTCCCTATTATGAGGATTGTCCGGATTGGGTTCCCATAGACCTTGAACGAATTTGAAGTCATTAGAAGTGAAACGTTTCAGCTCGAATTCAGTAGTGAAATTTCAACGTTTACTAAGTTAGGAAGTAATCCAAGCATAATATACACATTGAATAAGAGGATCGCGAAATTGGTAGGGCTGGGAAAGTTTCATAAAGGAAATGGCAAAGAACCATGCGGATGCATACTCATAGTGATTGAGCTGGAGCGATAGGCTGTGGTAGGTCTCAGGATGTCCAATTAACAATTCACTTTTCTATCAACCAACCTGGCCTTGTGAAAGGGCTACGACTTCGCGGTCGATGATGTATACCGTAACGATCTGACAATGCGGAAATGGCCTAAATTTAATGATAAAGTTTGTCAACTGAGAAGTATTCTAGGCAGCTCGTAGCTAAAAAGCATTTCCCACCTTGAATGTGTCCTCTTCCTCTTCTTCTTCTCTAGCTAGCTCGGATGGTTCAGCTGTGAGAGCTTGATAAGCGCTGAATTGGTTGAATTCAAAAAGAAATGTTATGAAGAATAAGCTCAGGTGAATTACCGTGTAGGTTTTCTGGAACGACGTCTAGAAGAAGTCGATGGTCCTGCTGTCAGTGAATTGTAGGCTCTGCAAAAGAAGCCAGAGGGATGGACCGTGAACTTTCTTGTTACTATTAAAGGCACAGTTCACGATGATTTTGAAGTACCCTTTTTAGGTAGGAAAGTGGAAATGTTGATGTAGATGAGTACATCGGTGATGAAGAGAGCGAGAAAATCCGCCTACTTCAAGATTTTTAAAAGTAATGAAGTGAAGATTGTACGAGATCACGGTGACGGCAATGGCATGTAAGGGGTGTTTGGACGAGATTTAACTTGCTTCCATTGCTTGAAGAGATGACTACACCAAGCCAGAATTGCCAGAAACAACCTTTCACTGTCGGCGTGGGTTATCACAAGTTGTCTGAACTTCCTACATGGAAGTCTTTTGAGATAGTGCAGCCTTTACGAAGTCAATGAAACTCGTCCACCATGGGTGTGGCATTCAGATGATACAATCTCTGGCCCCTTAATGTGCCCTATCCATGACGTTTTTCGACCTTACTATGACAGGTATGGTATAAGGAATTCATACTATAGGGAAATCTCATAAACCTTTTTTATCGTGAACTGTGCATTTGACTGATTCGCTTATTCAAAAGAACTCACTTCAACATGCGGAAGAGTTCATTTTCCTCGTCGGACCTGCTGGCCTTAGGATTGTTATGAGATCCGTGTCGACTGCTATGTAATTGCAATTTCTTAGGATCTATGATTTCTCCATATGTTTGGCCTCTTCTGAAATACGAATTTTGCATTTTGGTACCGTAACTGATAAGTGGAAATTTTACTGACAGATACTCGTTTATCATTTATCCATCTATCGCGGATTGTACCCTAATTTATCAGGAATACTTACATTTGTTCGTCAGGCGACGAGCTGCCCATTAACTCCATTTGTTCTTTTCTGGTCGCAACTTTAGGTAGAGGAGGTGGAACAACTAAGTTTCCTCCAGTTTGAGGCGTTCGACTTTGATTACTTGTTCTGCAAAGTAGTTGTTACATGCTTTCTCAAATGTCCTCAGATTGACCCATTTGGGGAGCTAGAGAGAAGATGGGCTTATGCGACACATTAATGAGCGAGATTGGAGATAGGTTTATGGGTGTACGTAGTGCATTCATACTTCCGCGCCTGAGTCAGTCGTGGATCGATATCACGTGGACCGATGACTCTTTTTGCGACTAGCGCCTCAATATGCGTTTGTAACTAAAGAAACTCTTGTTCAAAGACGTAACATCCTACTGTAAGTCACATGGATGATAACCGATCACGTAGGTTGAGAATTGCTAACACCTATAACAATCGATACTGAATTAGAGGAAGCAAAAAGACAATAAATGGAAGACAGACTTCTACACAACAAGAACTACCAAGCAGTCAGTGTAATCTGTATCCTAGTACAAGGAGGAGCATAATAAAACCAATTTTTAACGCTGAAAAATTATACAGTGTAGCAAGTCGTCGAGCCACGACATATCGATCGAGGGCCGACCCGACGCCGGCAGCGGCGTCGCTGTTAAGAGTAACTGTGCACCTAGTCGTACCGCCCGCAAAGTATGAATATGTCGCGTTTTGACCTAATCGTAAGTTACCGCAAAAACTTTCCTGAGTGATGCTGTCTATTCCTCTCTCTCTAACAGGGATCGCACAAATCGTGGGAATCAGTGTGCCATGACATGTAGGCGTCGAATTACTACCAATGGGCGGCAGTTTTTGTAAGCAAATCCTCACGAGCAAACGGTAGTGGTTTTGCGGGAATCCGTGATCTCTCATTAAATATCTAAAGCTTTCCCTAACGCGTATGGCTGCTCGCTACGAGTGTGGGACGTTAGTCTCGACTGACATTACTTCGCGCCGAGGTGCGAAGTGACCT